TTATTTCAGTTCGGTTGAGGGAGATTTCGTTTTGTCACGCAGAATGACACTCAGGGAACCCGGTCTTTCTCCATCTAGTGCGAAACGTTAGACACCTGATTTATCCGCACTGGGAATCACCGGCTGTGCGAAGCACATAAACCTCTAGACCGCCTCAAATCCGGGACTCTTCGGCACATTACCCTCCAGGTAATGGACGGTCGGGAGGTCGCAGTTTCCAGAGTTCCTGGGGATGCATAATATTCACCCGATATGTAAAGTCCCACCGTTAAGTTCGCCATTCAAGGAGTCAGCATGCCTCAACGTGACGTGGACTCCATGGCTGACTATATACATCCCGTCCAAGTGCGCACTAAGCGAACTGCTGATCAGCCATTCGTGGCTGGGCAGTTGGATGTTCACATCACTAAACGGGAGATCACGAGTTCAGGAGTGAAGATGCGCATTGCTGACCACTCACAATAAGTGCGTTGCACTTTTTTAACAACATAGACTGACTCCACTTCCAGGATGAAACCCCAACTGAAGGACAGGATTTCGTGTCTGAATTACGCTTCACTGTTCCTTGGCTATCAGGAGTTTGGTGCTACACGGACGTCCTTCCAAAAAAGCAAAGGCAGGTCACAGCTCATGCCTTCCGACGAAGCATATGGCCTGCATATACAGGCTGTCTCATAATAGACGCAAAAAATAATACCCATGTTAAAACTTTAACACCAAATTAAACAAGCATACAAACTGTAAATAAACTGGCGTAACAAAAGATGTTGAAAAAAACTCCCTTTTTTCCCTAACAAGTTGGAGGTGGTATGAGATATGAGACACAGCATGTTTAATTTCTTCAAACGTCACTCGTGCACACTCCTCTAAAATTCTTTCCCTTAACTCCACCAAATTCTTCGGTTTATTTTCATGATATACGTGCGCCCTGATCATTTCCCAAAACCAATAAACCAGAGATGTGAGATCGGGTGACCTTGTGGGCCAAAAGTTTGGAAATCCACGAGCAATGACTCTCTCATCAGAAAATTGCTCTCGGAGGTAATGCACGGTGGCGCGGGGAATGCCGGTCGACTGAGACACCTGAGTTATTGACGAAGATGCCATGGTGCTCTGAGACTGAAGTTGCTCGACGGCATTCTGTACAACGGGTGCTCTTTCATCGCTGGGAGACTTTCTCCCTTCGCCAGGAAAATCCAATACAGATTCATTGGACTCAGATTTTGCAATCAAGCGTGTAATGGTCGACACGGTGAAAGGATCTTTGATGAGACCATGTTTGGTTTTGTAGCCAAGAAGTGCAGCGGTGGTGGGAATGATAGAGTTTCACAATTTCAGTGCGCATACTGACATCCATCGTAGACAAAAAATACCAACGCTTGCGCACAAAATGTCTTATATGTGGCTACTAAAAATAAAAATTTTAGTTATTCTTTCTTCAATTAGCTACGTTTACTCACCCAATTAAATTTTACGTTCATTATGAGACACCCTGTAGATGACTGGTTGATATATGCGACGACTAGCGAGCAGTCGAACACATAGGTTTCGATAAAACTGAGTCGTCTGTGTGGTTCTTAACCAGCCACCGAGTTTGCTTCAGCTTTGTAGCGCGTGTATTTACTGGCGGTGCAAGTCCCATGGGCCTTTCATTCGTATAACAGTAGTTTTATCGTAGTTACCTCCTAGGAACGGTCGGCCGTCTTCCACTTTCGCCCGCATTCAAGTGAAATAATACAATTTCCACCCCCATACTTATTAGTTAGTTAGTACTATTCAACTTGTGGCTAATTTACCTAATTTAGTAGACCTAAACAATTTCTGCGCAGTCATTTAGTTTCGCTCACTTCTGTACATGATCTGATTAGCTTCTGATCTAATCGCTGTCTTCCAGAGCGCTAAAATCGGATCGACCGAGTAATCAATCTGACTTTCTGTGGAATCTGGTAAATTCCCGCACACCAAATGTTCCAGAAATGTTCAACTTCTAACTGGAGCAGCTAAATTCCCACAGCACATATTGAACAAAAAAGGAATGGTTTTGATACATGTGCGAACAAAACGTCGCGGTAATCTAACCGGTTTTATCCACTGCTTTTTTATTGCTTCTTTGGTGATTGATTTTTTAAACGCAGTGGGGATCGTTGTCTGGGATAAGTCGATAAAAAACGTGCTTATTGTTAGCTTGAAATCAACATTCATTATTGTAGATAACGTTTAATAGCAAGTTGCAACTTACCAGTTTATGGTTAGTTGCATATTCCTAAGTTTTCTAGTTGAGGTCTCAGGTTTTCTTTTCTGCTCTTCAAACTAATCTGTGATCATCCAAGTGATCGTCCCGGTAGCTCTTGGATCCAATCAGACAGGCACACTGTATCCACGACCTCATTTATTTTCTGATCGCTACTTGAGTTCAACCAACAGTTCGGTGTTAAAGCACCTCACCCTCCGATTTAGTCCTACCTGTTTGAGTTTTCGATTGATGGTAATTGATTCTGAGTTCATCTGAGACTCCAATATATGTTGAGACAACCAAGAAGCCATTTCATCTTTATTAGGAACCATTTGACATTGTTTTTTCCGATATCCGGTAACCATTCGCGTATCTGAATTGCTGGCTTCATATCGTTCAGTTTGAAACATTCGAAACGTTTAGATCATCGCAAATCACTCTAGTTAACAGCTGGCCGGATAGAAGCGGAAAATTACCGAGATTAGAGAGTGACTTACAACAGACACCGACGAGGCATTTTGTTCCAAGTTCATATGCGTTTATGTGGATTCATGAAAGCACGCATTGTATCTAACATGACCAGTTTGGCTTGCGTGCAACTCGAAAGGTCAGTCTGAAATTTTTGCTGTTCTGCATTCTGATTCACTTGCCTTAGACTAATACTTCGACCTGAATAGCCCGGTTTTGGTTTGTCTTTCTGCTGATTGGTTGGCATCTCACGTACTTGGTCATTCGCCCTCTCTCATTGGTCCATTCTTTACTTGTGTTGTGTCGTGGTCTGAACTTCTCTTTGATACGCTAGTTTGTGTATTTGACTGTTCTCAATTTCGGCTTATTCTCCTTTTCGATTTGTTTTGTCCAAAATTTCTTTGGGAGCGCTTAATACGTATAGTCGTCTTCGTTGCCTTTGTTGATCGATTTAATGACGATACTCTGGTTTGAAGCGCTTGAAATGTGGAGAATCGTTAAATCTAGCAGCCCGGAATAAAATGTGTTACATTACATCTTTAATATTCTTTGTATAAACTTGGATGCGGAGATATAACACTAGTTTTACTCAGCTGTATTCTATAACACATTTGTATGTCTCATTCATTTAGACTAACGTGGTGCAGGAATCAAACTTCGGCGAAACAGCTAAACTCTCTCCAGAAAAACCGTTTCTGAATCACTCGGTTTTATCATACCGTAAAGTCCCAGCTACCTTACTCAATGGAGTCCTCTCCCTCAGTTTGTTTCCTCTATTTTGTGTCAAATATTTGCGTGAGGATAAGGGGATGACTGAAATGAACGCTGAACTGACACATCCGGCAATAGATTTATTGCACCAGTTTCGTCAGCACTGGAATAAACAACATTTCGTGTCCGAAAAAGCATTCAACTCACAAGTTTCCATCACCAACAGCTTGTGAGAAAACAACATAAGCGCTCCGTGATCTACACGCCCCCAAGTGCACACACTCCAGGCGAGCATATCTGGAATTTCTTCACTGCTTTTAACAAGAACGAGGTCGCATAAATGAGTAAGAATACAAAACAGTTAGGTGAGGCAAATTTGTTTCCTTATGAAAATGATGAGCATAAAAACTGTGAATATAGAAATATACTTTCGACCAACACTGCGATCGTCCGCTGTGCTGTGAGTTGGCACGGTGCGGACCTACCAAGAGGGCGAATTAACCGGAGACCTGGCCGTACCCCCATAGTGCTTGGTAGTTTCAGAAATGGTCCACAAAGCGGAGAATGTCAGAACCAGTTTTCAAATCTGGACAAATTATGCCAACTACTCACGAATAGGTCTTCTTCGCAAGCATACTTGTGTGTTTTGAGTCAGCTTTAATCGTTTTTTTACATATGTATATTTTGGTCGCGGAGAAAAACGCGATGGCAGGTTCACGTGGTGTCACGCAGTGTTGTGGAGGGGTGCTACACACACTGTACACATTTCGGGCAAATGGTCCACAAAGAAGAGAATTTCAGAACCAGTTTTCAAATCTAGACAAATTACGCCAACTACTCATGAATAGGTCTTCTTCGCAAGCATACCCCTGTGTTTTGGATCAGCTTTAATAGTTTTCTACATATGTATGTCCGTCATCATCATCATCATCATCAACAGCATGACATCAGTGTTCAACGCAGATCCCTCACTGCCGTACAGCAATGATTTATTTGAAAGCTTTATTGTAAAGAAAAGAGTAAAGGTGGACGGGGAAGGGACTTGGTGCTAGCTTACCACAATCATTCCGAGGTGCCTACACCTTCAGACATTCACTCAGGCGATCTGGATAGAAACTGACAACAAGAACGCCGCTGACATCGTTTGGCACAGGCACAGTGAGGATCACGCGGTCCCCATCCTGGAAGGCGAGTAGCACCGACAGCACCCAAGCGTTTCGTGCTCTACTTCATACTCCTCTGCCACGTCAGAGGTTGGCCACCTCTCTG